CAACCGATCACATGACCAATCAGCTGTTCCTGCTCATAGACAACAAGGTCACATGACTAAACCGAGGAACAAGAATATAACTAAAACCTCCGATGGCTGGTCAGAACCAAGAGACGGCGGTTCTACTAAGACCCAACCAGAACCAGGAGAACCAGGACCATTATAGAAGTGGCAACACGTTGCTGGAGAAACTGGTACCTGCCTCAACAGTCGACCAATCAAAGAAATCCACTCCCATCCAAAACACCCAGGATTTCCACTGCCATGAGCCCAACGTCGACACCAGGGTGATTCACTGGGTCGATTAGATCGGGTCAGACTGATCCCGTCACGGTGCCTCTGACCCAATCTGGATTAAGCAATTTCTGTGTTGATTTGTCCATAGAGCAAGCCCACAGCATGACAGATGGATGATCGTCACCCAGCATCCCTTTCATCTTGGACATTTGAATCTCCTTACAAACGTCTTCTCTTGCTGAGGACATTTGTTTCTGCTCAACATTCATACTAAAAAGGATCATTCATGTTTGAACATGAGTAGGAGCGGGATCAGCTGGTCTGAGCCCGAATCCGACCAACAGACTGTTAATCTTTACAATCTGAGCTGAGGAAATATTAACAAAATGCTGTTCATGACAGACAGCAGAACACTGTGTCATTTCTGTCTGGAGTTTTAAACTGCAGCCAAAGTTGAAAGAAAAGTTTAGATAATTGTTGATTTGGTTTTTTTTTTTAACGGGATTGAAAATGAGAGGTTCTGGACTGAGAGCTGCTGGATCAGCAAACATCATGGAAAAGCCCAAACCGACACCAACAAGTCCAGGGAAGGAGTCTGGTTCCTCCAAACCCGCAGCACAGAAATTCTTTCGGGATTAAGTCAACCTTCTGGATGTGGGAACACAGGAAGTCCCAGTTTAACTCTTCCCAAATGTTTGGAGGAGGGAAAACCTTTTTCTCCTCCACATTTACACTCATTTGCCTCTGTGACCGAACACCAGGCTGGATCCCAGATGAAACGTTATCTGGGTTCCCTCTGCGCAGTTCTGGTTCTGGTTCTGGTTCTGGAGCCCCCCGCCCCCCTTCCCGGCCCCATCTGGGATAATGGGAGCAGGCTGCGGGAGTCCGAGTGTGAAAACCCGCAGCTTCACCGCAAAACGCATAAAAATCAACCAAAGTCACAGCTGGACCCGTGAAACCAAGCCCAGAAAGCAGTGGGCTGGGTTCGGCTGGGTTCGGCCTGATGGACTCACCGACTCTGAGAGGACGGAGGCGGACAGCATCAGCACGAGGCACAGGGGGAAAATCATGGCTGTCCTCTCACTGCGTGTGGATCACAAACTGGAGATAAAACTGCGGCGCGGATATTTAACTACCGGCTCCGGTTCGGACTGGCTAGTCTTCACTGCTCCTGGGTCCAAATGTAGTCCAGAAAAGGTTCCGTCTGCTCCGGTGTTCGTCGCTTTAGCCGTTTGTTTTGCGTGTGTCTCCGCTGACCGCTGGATCTCTACTGGGGCTCAGCCGCCGGCTCGCCCGCTCCTCTATGCTTCACATGGAGTGACGGAACCAATCAAAATCCGTGACGTCACAGAATTTTCCGTAATCCAACAGGTTGGCTCCGCCCCTCAGCAACAACAACAAAAAAAAATACTCCGCCATGTTGGTGGGGGAAGGCAGCCTGGATTCTGCTTGTTTTTATAGCAGTCACGTCAACGCAGCCGCCATATTGAAGAGGGTTTAATTATTTGATCCCAGCCCAGAACCCAGTGTTTCCAGCAAAAGAGGTGAAGCAGCATTTAGTTTTTCTGCTCCTCAGATGGGCAAAACACTGCCTGAAACAAATGTTCAGAACCCAATGGTTCCTGTAAATCAGGACCGAAGACGTGTTGGTTTACTGCCGCTTCTGGTAAAAAAATTTATAAAAACCTCTTTGGCTGCTGAAATTATGAGAGTTAAAACGAGATTTAAATTCAAAATTAAACATTCACCAAAAGTTGCCTTAAATACCTGTATACAGATTTCTATTCACTGGTTTGTGTTTATAACGAATCGTGTAAAACAAACTGTTGCCATGTGCATGAAGAAACTACTTTATTTACTTGAAAACCAGACTGATAATGTTTTAAAAGTGGCTTCCACTGTTTATGGTACAATGTTGTAATTATGTATGTGAAATAACACAGTAATTATATTTTTACCTATTTGGAAATTGCCATAATAATAAAGTATCTAGTCCAGAATCTGTTGTTTGAGAACATGTAAAGCTGTAGAGCCACTCAGACATCTGAGTTTGGTAACACAGGAAGCAGCTTCTGTCCTCTAGCATGAAAACATCTGTTTTTTTTTTTTAAAGTGGAGCTGCTTTCTTTCTCTGTATTCTTCTGTTTTTATGACAGTTAATAACAATACAAACCTTTAAAACAACCAACCCCACAGGTTATCTTATCTAACTCAGGGTGTTACGGACCACTTTCATTTTCCTCTAAACAGAAATGACTGTATGAATGATAAGAGAACACTGGTTGAATTTCTCTGAGTTATGAAGCCGCCACTAAAGGGTTTTCTGTCTGTTCCAGGGAAAGCTGAAGCAGCTGACGGGCTTTTTCTCTCCACTGCTTCAGAGAAACTCAGGGTGACGACATTTCCTTCCTCCTTTCTACTCTTTCACTCTCTCACCACTAGAGTTTATTTCGTTTTCCTGTCTGCATCCTTCTTTCCTTTTCTTTTCTTTTCTCTTCTGATAAGTGGTCTCTGTTTTCACTTTCATAAATCACATTAGTTACCTAAAAACAAAACAGTTTCTCTATCAAGACCAAACTGGAACTTTGTTGTTCTGAGGTAAATAGATTTTATTGACATTTACTGAACCAAAACAAAATTTAGACATTGATTATGTAAAATCAACATATATTTTATCAAATGTTTTTCTGGAAAGATTTGTGTTTTCCTCTGAGGCTGAGTCAACCCATTGAGTTAATTTGATTCTTATTGTAAAGTTAACATATTTGAGGAACTGAATCACTGAGTGAAACACTTTACATACATTAATTACACACAGATACCTTTATTTTAATTATGATAGTTTTCTACATAATTTAAAATGGAAATAACTCATCAAAACAATAAAGAAACTATTTTAAAAAACAGAAATGTGGGTTTAATGAAGTTACCTGCTTAAAGGTTATTTTCAAAAGGTAATCTGAAAAACCTGATTCATTGGGACATATATTTTAATTTGCAGTAAATATGTTCTTTTTCAAATAAAACAGATTTTTTTAAAAACAAAATCAGGCTTAAAATCTGCTGCTGTTTTATTTAGTTAAATTTTTCCACATTAGATTCAACATACCAAACATTTTATGATACATTTTTCATCCTATTCATCAGTTGCTGCTTTAACATTTATTTGTTGTTCCATTTACTGTAATTAAATGATTTTAACCATCTAAAGTATATATTTAGTTTATTTTAACTATTCAGTGATAATAACAAATGGCTCATATGCAGACTAATCATAAATACTTTCTCTATCCTTTGAAATACATTTATATTTTTATTGATTATAAAACAGCAGGATGTTAATGTATGAATTCTGCAAGGCTTAAATTTGCTTATTAATAGAATCTCTTAGAGGTTTTTGGTATTTTATACTTTCATGACTGAGTTTTCACTGCTTAATGCCAATTAAGCCTTAAATCTGGGGACAGAAATTCACACATGAAGAGGATTCTGGATCAAACCTCATCTTTCCGTGTGGATTTTTCACGTTTTCCTGAGTTTCCTCCCACAGCGTGAAGGTGTTCGCTGACTCGCCTCCAGGTGTGAGTCGGTCATGGGACGGACCGGCAGCAGCGGCCCGAAAGATGCATCAAAGCTCAGGAAGTGAACGGAAGAAAGGAGAGCCTCACTCTCTGGGGACAGCCTGTAAGAACTGCTTATCTTCAGAAAATGATTGGAATCAGTGTTTCTATTATTTTTGACAGCTGGGACACAAGGTGGGGATTTTCCTGTTTCATTTCATCCATGAGAGGAAACAAGTTCAGAAAAGAACATCATGAAGCGGGGAAACCCAAAGGCTAAATACCTGCTGCGAACTGTCTGCCTATGAAAACTCAGCATGAGCAGACTAATATTAGCAACATGGAGGGAAAGTGTCACAGAGCCACTGTAAACCCCGAAACAGTTAAAGTGACTGTAGGCGTACTGTTTGCTTTGGAAAGAGGGAAATTTCATTCCCTGCCAAACCTGCTGGCCTTATCAGCTGCGATCAGGCAGTTAAACCTGCTGCGGATATTGCTTACATACGGCCTCGCTCACAGAAAGCTCTCCTTCTCCCAGCTTCAGAGTTTCACTGTCAGGAAATAATCACAGATTATCAGATATTAAAGGAAATACAAGATATAAAAACAGAAAAGTGAGATTTTAGATTACTGAACACAACAGAAAACAAACATTATGATTCAACAGGTCGTCATTATTCTCTGTAATCTTTTTCTTTTCAGGCTCAAAGTTTTTATTCAATCTTTCCGTCGACCCAGAAAAGTCTTGTGATGTCAGGACACTTGATCTCATGCAGTTTATCCTGGTTAAATAAAACCTGAGTGAAGTTGTCATTGTTAATATTGTTTGCGTTTGTTCATGTGGAGCATTGATCTCTGGTTACCTATGAACACTTTTTTTTTTAAATAACAGTCTTAATTTTACACATTTTAGTTGCACAAATGTGAAACACTTTATTGAAATTATATTTTGCTTGATTTTATAAAAGAATTGGCTGGTTGACCTTTGATGACCTCTGGAAACTTTCAAAATGACAGCAGCCAAAATGAACATTTTTGTCACCAATTCCGTTTAACTTTCAGGAGGTGAAGGTGGGAGCCGACGTCACTCAGGTGATCAGATAAATTCAGGATGTTTTACAGCAGCTCAGAGGTTTATTATTGACCTTTGGACTGAACCTACAAGTGGAACTGAACTGGTTGTTTCTCATTTCAGAGAGACGATCAGATTCGCCTCCAGACCAAACGAGCAGCTTCCTCTCAGTGAGTCCAGCTGCAGGAGAGAAAAGAGGAAACTGCTGCTTCCAGCTGCTCACACTGAAGGCGAGTTGGACCAAAAACACTCAGAGTTCAGTGACTGACTGGACCTTCTGTTTTCAGCTTCACTCAGAGACAAAATGGCTTCCAGACCAGAGGAGGACCTCTGCTGTCTGGTCTGTCAGGACGGCTTTAAGGATCCGGTTGTTCTGTCATGCAGCCACAGCTTCTGTAAGGAGTGTCTGAAGAACTGGTGGAGACAGAAACCAGCAGGAGAGTGTCCAGTTTGCAAGAGGAAATCTTCAAGAGAGGAACCGACTTTAAATCCGGCTCTGAAGAGACTCTGTGAATCATTCTTAGAGCAGAGAGAGCAAAAAGCTTCAGAGAGTCTCTGCAGTCTGCACTCTGAGAAACTCAAACTCTTCTGTCTGGACCATCAGCAGCCAGTTTGTCTCGTCTGCAGAGATTCAGAAAAACACATCAAGCACAGATTCAGAGCCATCGATGAAGCTGCTCAGGATCACAGAGAGAATCTGAAAACATCTCTGGAGCCTTTAAAGAAGAAACTGGAGCAGAAGAAGGAAGTTAAAGAGGAGTTTGATCAGACAGCAGAACACATGAAGGTCCAGGCCCGACACACAGAGAGGCAGATTGTTGAGCAGTTTAAGAAGCTTCATCAGTTTCTAGCAGAGGAAGAGGAGGCCAGGCTGGCTGCACTGAGGGAGGAAGAGGAGCAGAAGAGAGGGATGATGGAGGAGAAGATGGAGGCTCTGAGCAGAGAGATAGCAGCTCTTTCAGACACAGTCAGAGCCACAGAGGAGGAGCTGAGAGCTGAAGACGTCTCATTCCTGCACAACTACAAGGCTGCAGTGGAAAGAGTCCAGCGCTGCCCCCTGCTGGAGGATCCACAGCTGCCCTCAGGAGCTCTGATAGACCAGGCCAAACATCTGGGCAACCTGGCCTTCAACATCTGGAGCAACATGAAGGACATGGTGACCTATACTCCTCTGGTTCTGGACCCAAACACGGCGAATCCAGAACTCCTGCTGTCTGAAGATCTGACCACTTTGACATATGGAGAGGAACAGCAGCTTCCTGTCAACCCAGAGAGGTTTGCTCGCTTTTGTTCGGTTCTCAGTTCTGAGGGTTTTAACTCCGGGATCCACAGCTGGGATGTTGAGGTTGGAGACAGTGAAGACTGGATGCTTGGCATGTTGGCAGAGTCTGTCCAGAGGAAGAAATTTATACGGGATGGATGGTTGGGTGTCGGCTATGATGGTCAATACTCAGCAGTGTGCCTGCCAGCTCCTTTCACCGTTCTCTCTGTCCAGAAAAAGATCCAGAGGGTCAGAGTGAATCTGGACTATGATGGAGGAAAGCTGTCCTTCTCTGATCTGGACACTAACACACACATACACACCCTCACACGCACCTTCACTGACCGGATGTTTACTTTCTTCAGCACTCAGGATGAAATAAAAATCCTTCCAATGAAAATCTCAGTGATCAAACAGCAGCTCTGATGTTTTCAGCATGAAGAACATAAACTGAAATAAAGCATATAGTTTGGATTGAAACTGAAGATGATCTGATTATCTGGGGGCTTTATCTGTTTTATGATTTGATTATTTTGAGTCTGTTGTGTCTGGAAACCGTTGTAAACCAATGTGTTGAAATACTGTAGAGTATGCGCCGTTTTCAAATTGGCTTTATGAATGAATGCAACTGTTGCACCAGAATTGTTTCAATCGTTTCTAATCTGTATAAAAAGTGATGTATAAATAAGGATCGATTGATTCTGGCTCCATTTGTTCGTCCAGAGTAAGGCGGCTAATCACAGCCAAGGACAATAATTAGCTGCCTTATACATAAATGTATAAAGATTGTAGCTTCCAGTGAACAGTAAACAAGATCAGAACAAGTGGAAGAAAAAAACAACTCAGTTTGAAAAGAAAACTTTATTAACCATCTTTTTTCCTCCTCCTGGCTCTGATTGGTTGCTTTGCATTTCTTCAGATGGATCACAGGAAGGAGGAGCAGCTCAATCTTTTCACCGTTTCTCATTTACAGTGTCAGGACACGATGACAGTTCAAATAAATGTGTAAAAAACATATTTCTGTAAAAGTTACATCCTGTAGTTTGAACGTTTGTGGATAAATAAGACTGTTTGGTCTCTTATTTATTATATTTAGTTGCAACCTTTACATGAATCTGCATGTTTCATCTCTTTGCTGCGACCAAAATCCAACAGAATAAACCTGAATCATAAAATCTCATAAAGATAAATATAACTCTGACTGAACAGAAAAATAAAGCAAACGTTTTTATGAACATCAGATCTCCTTCTCCAAAGACTTGATTTGTGATAAACTGATTGATTTGTTTAGTCTGAATGAATCTCCTAATAATTATTTACATTTTTACATGACTCAGTTTTCATGTGAAGCTGCTTTCAGCTCATCTTTAATCCAGATTTTAAATGAAGTGAAGAAACTTGTGTTTACATGTCAGAGACATTAATTCATGTAGTCAGAACTAACAGTGTTCCCCTTTTAGCTAAAGTCCCTCTAATTACTAGTCATCTGCTTTTCTTCTACTATAACATTTAAAGGGGATTTCTGCCCTAATATTTACATGAGTCTTAATCATCTGATGTTTATTGTGGTTTTACATTCAGCGAAAGGGAAAAACCTGATGTGAAAGAGAGAAAAGCATTTATGTCGAAGATGACATTTAGGAAAAGTTTCATTACGTCAGAGAAAGCAGAAGTGCAAAACAAATCCAAAGCGTCAGAGCAGAGTGGAGGAAGTCAGAGCCTGACGGCAGCATAAGGTCAGCATCAAGGTCAAAAAGCAGTCGGACGGGGCGTCACGCACGCTGCGCCTCTGACAGCATGAAGATCACTCTGAAATGAGAAATTATTTAAAAAATGAGGAACCCAATAAACAATGAGGCGTGTCTGTTCATAACATCCATGTTTCATTAAAACTCCCGATAAAACCAGGACTCCTCTCTGCCTCAGCAAGCACAAACCTTAAAGCATATGAAACATCAGGAGTAAAAATAATCAAACTTTTAAACTCAGTTAGACCAGAAACTTTTTATAAGCTCTGAACCAAACAGTTTAAATCAGTGAAATTATACTTGACAATAACAGATTTTGTGTTTTCTCAGTTCTCACAGGTTAATGCTTACAGCTCAGATACATTAGTAACTACAAGACAAATAAAACTACATCTCTTGCATCTCTGGTAAAAACATTAAAGGCTTAATAGAGGAGCGATGTTGAGACGACTTCCTGGAGGCGGTGCTTCGGAGAGAGCAGGGGCTTCTTAAAGAGACAGAGGCCCAATTTGTAGGTGTTACATCAGGAAGCAATATTTATTTAAGTCATATTTGACCTATACACCATTTCTATAACAAGACTTACAAGTCTGGAAAATGTAAATCTAATCTATCTATCTATCTATCTATCTATCTATCTATCTATCTATCTATCTATCTATCTATCTATCTATCTATCTATCTATCTATCTATCTATCTATCTATCTATCTATCTATATCTACGTTGATGCTAAATACTCACTGACTGGGCTGCAGGTTGGGATTTCTTTATTCAAGTACAAATTAGTGCAGTAAAGAAAAGACAGTTTCCTCCTGTGACTCCAGGCTTGGAGCTGCTTCCTGAATGATCAGCTTCCAGCTCTGAAAACACTTCAGCTGTGAAAAATCACCTGAGAGACCAGTTGACCTCTGACCTTGTGCATGTAAACACAGCCTGCAGTACATTTAGCAGACAGAGAACGATATCTGACACCATGCAGAATGAAACTAACAGATCTGCTGAAATCAAACCTCAAAGCGTCTGAAAAATATGTTTTAAACCCAAATGGAATGAGAAACGCTGCTACAACCTGACTGTTTACTCTGGTTCTTATTTTATGTCATCTAAAGTTTTCTGCAGCGCCCCCTGCTGTTCAGATCAACACCTGAACATCCACTGACTGGAGATCATTTCCATCGTCCCAGTTTATGACTGGTTATTTTTATTCCCAACCAGCGTTTTAATAAAAATCTGGTGCATTTTTGTGTTTTTTTAATTTAAAGAGTCAGAATTTGATTTTTGTATTAAATGTTCACCAGATGGAACTTTGATCCTGAAAAAAAGACTTATTCAAATGGAAATGCTGCCATCTGCTGGTCACTGAGCGGAACAGACCTCAGCTAAAATATTTCAATAGTTTAAGATGGAAGTGACATATCCAGAGATGAAATCATTCTCTGGTAAACTTCCCTGTATGAGTACACATTTAAAATCCCTGCGCATTCTGCCGTTTTTTCTTCATCATTTTTTCCTCAATATTTCAGCGGCATCATTCTCCAGCTGTGATTAAAACGTGGACTGAACCTGAAAACCTCATGGTGACGTCAGGAAAAGAAACCATTTCCAAACCTGTGCTGGAGGCAGAGCTGCAGATTTCATCAACATCCGCTGCTGCAGAGGAACTTCAGTTGAGTTTCAATGACGATGTTTCAATTTTGGCTTCACTGTTTGGTCACCAAGTTTAGTTTATCTGCTGAAAACTGCAGATAGGTTTCTGACGTCCTTTAACGTCACACCCACAGTGACCAGCAGGTGGCAGGATTGTTCCACAAACTGATTTCTGATGACGTTTCATCTCAAAACTAACTTTCTGAACCAATCAGATGTAAATCAACATTTTGAGGAATATTTAGTTTCTTTTTCCTGTGACAAACTAAAATATTTCTATGACATTTTGGAGGATATTTACAATCCAGTCAAATTGTAATATTGTTAATAATAAACTGCAAACTTCTTGATTTTTTATTTTTATTTTTTTGTCAAAAACTTTGAACTGCCTTGATGCTGAAATGTGCCGTACAAATAAACTTGATTGATTGATGATTGATCTGAACAGGTTAGCTGAGGTGATCTGAATCCTAGCAAGCATGTGGCGACAGTGGAGAGGAACCACTGTGTCCAGCGGAGCCAGACGAGATTCAAGGTTGAAGTAAATTCACTTTTCTTACTGAAATAAGAGAAAATCAGACAAAACTCCTTTCAATGATCAGGCGATCACAGGAAGAGGAGAAACGCCCAGAACATCTGGGCTCATGTTTGGTTCTCCACACGGTGGCGCTGTTTCTGCAGGTTTCTCAGCAAATAATTAAAACAACCCAGAAAGAACCAGACGGTCCGGAAGTTCTGATCCCGGATCTCTCTAAACGTTTGCAGCTTCAGTTCTGCTTCGGTCATTCAGATGCGATGCCAACACCTTCAGCTTCCTCATGCTAATGAAAAGCAGCAGCAGAGTGTCAGAAGTCATCATTTTCACACCCTGCAGCTGGAACAGTGTGGTTCTGCATAAAACCCACCAAGGGTTCAAGTTGGATTTTCTGGGTTTTTAGGAATCCAAAACCAGCAGGGATAAAAACCGATAGGAAATAGACGTCAAAAGAAACAAAAATGACAAAAGAAATGTTTCCACCCTTCTGCCCTGTTTTCATATGAAGGTTCAGAGGAAATGAAAACAGCATCTAGAAAACATCTCAGGGACCAACTGGGCTGTTTTAGGGGGAAACGGGCTCAGCTGTAGCTGAATAAAACTTTTACATTCATTCAATCACATCTCACAGAGGAATTAATCAGCTCACAAATTATTGCTTTTCAGCTGCATCTGGATGATCCGTCAAGTTATGATCCATTTAACAGTCATTTTTACTGACGCTTCAAGTTCAGCATGAAAAATTAATTATAATAAACTGCCTTTACCTTCTCTAAAAGCTAACAGAGCTTTCTGTCCTCCAAGAGGAAGTTTCCTGCAACAATAAAATGGAACCATCAGAAATAATTGTGAACCCAGCGCAGGCTTCATGTTAACCATACCTGTAGAGGAGTCAGCCTGACCTCTGACCTCTGACCCTCTCAGCGATCTACCCGCTTTTAAATGTAAATGCAGATTACCTGTCTCCGTAATGAATCAGCTGCGCTCCAACACAGCGTCTTCCTTATATGGGCAAACGGAAGAGTGCATAATGGACATGATGCCCCGGCTACATACGCAGCAGCAGTTCACTCATAAGACGGGAAAGTTATTTCCTCAGGCGTGAAATGCTGGCGGAGCGGAGCGGCCTTTACTTGTGGCTGAGTTGACATGAATACTTTTACTCAGGTTCTGGAGTTGATCTCTGGTTGGGATTCATGATGGCTCAAGCAGCTTTTTAAAGCAGAAGCCTGAGCGGAACACAGCGCCTGGTGTTGCAGCGCTCCGGTCATTAAGTGTGCCTGACGCATGGATGCGGACGCACGCGGTCCGTCCTGCGTAACCGAAGCCTGCGGCCTGCCAGAACAGATCCATCATCATTTACGTCCTGCTGAGCGCCATTTGTCTCCGCAGGGACCCCGGCACCACCCCGCCTCCCGGAGGTCAGCGCATGAGAGGGGCTGAGAGGCTCCGAGCCGCCAATGAAAGGGCCGCCTTGAAAAGCGGAGCGAGAGGCCGCAGGAAATGAGCGTGAAATGGACGTCACGTCCTAATCAAAGCCGGAGAAGACGAATGAGAGGCGGCTGGAAATCACCTGAGCTGAAAGAGAGATGGATGGACGGACAGATGGAGCGGTGGGTGGAGGGATGGATAGATTTACAGACGGATGGATGGATGGGTGGAGGAATTAATAGCCGCGGCACAGCCTCCCCTCCTCCGCGCGTTTCATTAGCGGCGCGGTTCACACAGTGTCTCTCTGTTGGGCCGCGGCTCCATCTGAAGCTCCACAGTTAATACCTGCAGGTTTCCAGGATAATATTGTCTCTGGCAGAGAGCGCCAGAAAACGGATCCGCGAGAAAATAAACAGCAGCGGCAGCGGCGGGTTGGCAGGCAGGTGACTCAGGGCGCGGGCTGGGGGCCGCGATGGGGCCCCGCGCTGGGGGCCCCGGGCTGGGGGCCGGGCTGGGCCCCCGCGATGGGGGCCGCGATGGGTCCCCTCGCTGAGGGCCGCGATGGGGCCCCGCGCTGGGGGCCGGGCGGGTCATTTCATGCTTTTCTCCGCAGCATGATATGACCGCTACTGTGTTTTACTACATCATACAGTTTGATGTGAGGAGCCGAGCTTTTCTTCTGCTCCTCGACCTCCAGGACCAACGTCTGTGTTCTGGGTTTGTTTCAGCCTGAAAGCCGTCCTCCCATGTCTCCCCCTGGGCCGGGAGATGCTCCACACACGAAGGTGTGGTGTTTTTCCTTCAGTTTTATTTGGT